TCGGTTCATTCGTTTTTTTATGTTTTTTTCATTTCTATATGTTGCTTTATCGTCGGAATGAATGTGGTCGGAGCTCTTGATCGGATGCTTCTTTCCACGAAGACCAGTTCTCGCTCCCTCACGTCTCCCGCCCTCCACCTCCTACGCCCTTCCTCATGTCGACCTCCCCCCTCTTTCCCCCCTCCCCTGCTTTCCCGTACTTCTTCCCCCCCTCCCCCCCTCCTTTCCCCCGCCTTCCGCTTGCTTTCCCCCGCCTTCCCGCAACGTTGCGCGCCCACAATCGTCCAAATCGTCCTAGTGGGGGGAGCTGCGTGCATATGTGCGCGTTTGCTCGGTAGGCACTACTCGTCTTCACCGGAATTGCTGTATCTGGACTCAAAGTTGCTACAAATACAGCTATAATGACCGTACTTTGTTTGTATTCGGGTGTAGACGATAGGGGGAATGAAACGCGTGTTTATTCTTTTTTTTTTTTTTTTTTGGGTTAAGACTTGTTTATTCTCGTGTCGTTTGATTTTTAATTTTTATTGCGTTTTGGTAATAATCACTTCAGCGTCGCTGTCAGACTGGAAGTGGACGGTGAAGGACGGCGATGTATGTGACCTACGTGGCCGTGTAGGTTCACCTTGACAGCGACACACTGAAGAGATTGCTATTTTTTTTCCGAGGATCGTTTTGGAATCCCTCGTTTGTCCATCCCTCCTCTCTCTCCCATACACACACTCTTTCTCTCCCTCTCTCTCCCTCTCTCTCCCCCTTCGCCCTCTCTGTTTTTCCCTTCTTGGTGCCCTGTTTTTTTTTTTCGCTTGTTTGTGCTCTAATATCGGCCCCGCAGCTTTGGCTGCCTTCTCTCTCTCTCTCTCTCTCTCTCTCTCTCTCTCTGTATTTGTATTTGTAGATGCTCTGGTTATAAAAGGAGAGGTCAGGGGTTCGAGGACGTGGAACGTCCCAAAAAAAAAAAAAAAAAAGAAAAAAAAAGGACGTGGAACGCATGACATCTTTTTTTCCAACGTAACGACAAAACAAGGAAGGGGTTGAAGAATATTCTTCTGCTGTTCCGTTGTTTTGGTTCTGCTTTTTCGTTTGGTTGTTCTGTTCATTAGACATGCGCGCCCTGGGGCGAGGTCCCACTCGGTAGCAAAGAGGATTGAATCGAACGCCTGAATCTGGACGTGTTTGTGGAGAGGGGCAGAAAATCGCGATTGGTCTGCTTTTCTGCATCACTGCTTAAAACGCGTCCAGATTCGGGCGCTCAATCCAGCCAGTCCTCTTTGTTGCTAGCCGGACTTTGCCCCTGCGGGATTTTCTGCACCTCTCCACAAGAGCGGACACATTACGATTTTCTGCAGCTCTCCACAAACGGGTCCAGATTCCGACGTTCCATTCAATCCTCCTCTTTGCCAGTGGGCCCTCGCCCCAGGTCTGCCGAGTCATCTGCATCGTAGGTACACAAGAGCGTACGGGACCTACAGAACAGATCCTGTCCAAACAGTGTACAGTCCTTACCCTTGGCAATTTTAATTTGTAGTCTGAATTTAGT